GGAGCGCAAAGTCAAGCAGCAACAGCGACAGCAGTATGAGCTTATGCGACGCCAGTCGAGCCAACATCTCCAAAGTGCTTGGTCGTCGGAGTAAGTGACGAAGGATGCCCAATTATTCAGTAAGTAAGTTTAGGAGAGTCTTTGCATCCAAATGATTCCCCTACTAATACCAATACCTCCCATGTTTTTGCATTGTTTCTTTTCTTTGCGGTCGCTATTTAATGAAGCACTACGTGGTACGAGATAGTGCAATTTGTGTGCGAATAGGATGAATCTTCAGGTGGACCAGTGCACAATGAGTGTACTGTCAAATTGTGCCGATGCTACAAACTTCTTAGTGGGCCACGATTGGGATAACTCCGAGAACAGCGAGACTTTGCAGCAACCAGAGCAAATTCGGTATTAGAGGATAAAATCGTATATTGCGCAGCTGGTAGACGTTTCATGGGCTTTGCTTTTCTATCGAGTTCAAGCACGTTTGCTGGACCTGGCATATACCGTTTTGAACTGACGCAACAATTGGTATTTGGAAACCAATTCCTCGCTTTTGCTAATAGTGTCCATCATTTTCGCTTGTGTGGTTGAATCCAGCTTCTTGAATTCCTCAATCCAGAAAAGCCCAGCGCCTTGCGTAGCTACTTGGGAGTAATTCCCATGGCTAGAATCTTCTGCAGTTTAGCTTTTAGTTGAATAAGTTCCTTAGCCTTGTCACTTTATCGCCGCTTTCTTTACGGCATTGATGAGTGCAGTGCCGAATCCCACCCTCTCTTTCTCTTTTCCTGAGCATCGTCGGAGAAGCCAGAGTCCATAAGGTTGACGCCAGTCCGTTTCACAAGTAGGTGAGGTTCCCGGGCCAGATTGGTCTCATCGGGGACCGCTGCCACCAAGGCAGCATTTTGGAGTATCCTCAGTGCTAGGGTTAGCAAATAAGTCGAGCACATAGCCGGCAACAAGTCATGAAGGGATAAAGTTGTCGAATAACATGTAGTTGTGGTCTGGCATTTCTATACGGTGTTCTGACAGACGTTTCTGCACT